TGTTCAAATAGAAGCCCTGAAATTGCCGGAAATGGTGTCACAGTTTGACATTCAATTCAACCTGGCCAACTTTGACAGCACGCAACAGACACGACCTTTGACATAAAGTCACAAATATCACAACTTTTAATCAGCAATGTTTTTTGACTGAACTGACCAATTTTGAAGTAGATCCGATACATAGATGTGTTCAGGGTGGGACTCTTATCAAACATGTGAAGTTTCGTTAAGATTGGATCATGTACGCTGAAGTTGTGACAACTTCCTGTTTCATGGAAAAAGGTCAAATTTTGGTGTCACAAACAGCACAACTTTTAATCTTGAATGTCTTTACATGGCAGTGTCCAAATGTGAAGTTGATCCAATGGAGGAGGTTGCTAAAATACAACACCAAAAATGACTGCTAAATCCAAAATGGCTTACTTCCTGTTGGGTTTGGGATATGGCTCCAAGAGGATTTCTTGTACGTCCTGACATGATACCTATGCCTGCCAATTTTCATGTCAGCGAAACAGGACACAGGGGTTGCGTTTTTGAAAATTTGTAAGGGGCGCTATTGAGCCATTTTCAAGACCCATGAATTTGCAGAGTGCAGCCACGACTGACCTGTGTGCAGAATTTCAGAACTTTTCAAATATGATAAAGCCTCCAAAAATCTTAAATTTTTGAATAATAATAATAATAATAATAATAATAATAATTCCTACAGTTACAATAAGGCCTTCACATGATTTGTTCTCGGGCCCTAATAATTCTTACAATTACAATAGGGCCTTCACACGATTTGTTCTCGGGGCCCAAATAATCAGAAAAATGCTGAACACTGAATCTGATAATCGACCATGACGATAATTGGTCCATCCCTGCTACTGAGGAGGATGTTTGTAGCATATAACACTGTGTGTGTGTGTGTGTGTGTGTGTGTGTGTGTGTGTGTGTGTGTGTGTGTGTTTGTTACCTTGGTAACCTGAGGGCTTTTGCTGAGGTAATAAGATGCTGCCAAACCCCCTATTCCCCCTCCAAGGACTGCAACTGTTCTCATTGGCTGACTGCAAACACAAATCACACTTAATAACTTGGTTTCCAACCTGGGGATCGGGACCCCCACCAGGGGTTACAAGGCCCTCTTGAGTTTACAGGGTTTAAGAAAGCTTAAACTTAACTTTTTCAGATCTAAACTTTGAACATGTGAACACAAACTATATTCACAAAGCCTTTCACATAGCTTTCCCTCTCTGATAAACATCCTCATCCTGCATTAGAAAACCTAAAACAACGAAGCAACAAAGAGCAAATAAAACAATCGCCAAGAGTCAAGAAAACACTGAATTTGTAAAAACAAAAAAGCCTATTAAGTATGTATGATTGTTATATATTAAAAAAAAACATACCCACAGAGATGCAATATTCAGGGGAAATAATATGAACACAGGTCATAAAAAAGGGGTTCCCTGAAGGAAAAAGAATACTGCAATAACCAATCGAGCTTTAACACAGAACCAAGACAGTAGAGTTGAATATGTAGCTAATGTGCTGTGACAGGGTGTGTCTGGTAACAGAGGCCTGTTGATGATGATATGGAAAACTGAAAAAATGTTTATCAGACACCTCATTCTGTTCCCCAGCAATCTGTCCAACCGTCCACCTTGGGTCTCTGTAATAACATTATAAGAAGTATAGTCTAGACCTTCTCAATATGAAAAGTGTCCTGAGATGTTTTTAAAAAGCCTATTAAGTATGTAGAATTTTTAAAAATATAAAAAATACAAAGAATTGCATAAATAGCTAAAAATATAGGGAAAACTCAACTCTAATCAGTTTTTACAGGAAATAATCTGCTCAAATTACATCCATGTACAGTTTATCAGTTGTTCTGTGCTGTTATTGTTTTGCATTGAATATAATATGAAATATCCATAAAATATGTCACTTAGTCAGGTGTCCAGTATTATTATTATTATTATTATTATTATTATTATTACTACTACAGCTACTATTATTACTATTATCATTGCTCATCGTCCCCCATCAATGTCGTCGTCATCATCTTCTTCATGTTCATCATCATCAGTCACCACTAGTGTAGTTGTTGCTACTGTTGTTACTGTGCACCTTTGTCTCTGTCTCTCTCTCACCCCAACTGATCGAGGCAGAAGACCACCCACCTAGAGCCGGGGTCGGTCCGAGGTTTCTGCCTCTTATAAGGAAGTATTTCTTGCCACCATCGCCAAGTGCTTGCTCATAGTGGTACTGTTGGGCTCTGTAAATAATGTTATAAAGAGTTCGGTCTAGACCTGCTGTATTTGAAAAGTGTCCTGAGATAACTTCTGTTATGAATTGGCGCCATATAAATAAAATTGAATTGAATTGGTAATGTTTGAAATTATTCGTGGAACCTGAAGTCATCAATAATACGTGGCCTGTTCCAGAGTCCATGTCTAAGTGACAGCAACATAATAACTCCAGTTGTCCACAATGTTTGTGTGTGTGTGTGTGTGTGTGTGTATGTGTGTGTGTATATATATATATATATATATATATATATATATATATATATATATATATATGCGGCCCCTTGCTGCATGTCATCCCCCCTCTCTGACCCCCCACCCCTGTCTATCCCCAGCTGTCTCTCTATGAAACAAAGGCATAAAGGCCAAAAAAATAAATAATTGTGCCAATGTGAGAAGATTTTAAATTAAAACTCATGGTCGAATTATCTGAATAGAGCAACATTGTTATGGACCGTAGTCCTTTTATAAGGACTAGGGTCTAGACCTGCTCTATATGAAGAGTGTCCTGAGATAACCTGAGTTATGATTTGGCGCTATACAAAAAAAAAACTGCCTGTGAGCTTTAGCCGGATGGTGCACTGACAGCTTTCACCGGCTAGAAAGACTTTAAGGGTATAAAGAGCAAACATACGGGGACCTCACAGACAGCTGGAAACCAATATACCTACACATCGACAGCGACACTGAGAATGAAGCTAGCTACAAACTGTCTGCTGTTACCTTTGTAAAAATGTTATGTAAACATCGTAATAATAGTATATGACACTACCAGAATGTGGGCTCCGTCTTCCGCGTGCTTGTGTTCCGACCAGGTTCCGACGCCTTCTTCTGGTCATTTGGTGAGGCTTCTTCTTCTTCTTCCTCGGGTTTTAATGGCGGTTGGCAACCAGCTTATAGGTCCTTTACCGCCACCTACTCGACTGAAAAAGGAAGGCTACATCTTAACACCATGATTCTAATGCTGTTTGGTGTCAGTTCCAGTGAAGCGAGATGCATGGAGAAGCAAAATAAAACCCAACATAGCTGTTGTATGTTGTATGACCTTTGATGAAGAAATCCCTCTACCAAATGAAAGAACACAGAGAATAAAGACGTTTTCCAAATTTGTTTAGAGTAGAGTAAAATCTAATTTATGTGAACAAAACTGTTATTTTTTAAAGTTTAGATTATTTAAGATCTAAACTTTGAAGACCTGAACACAAGCTATATTCACAGAGCCTTCACTCTCTTATAAACAGCATTGTCCTGCATTAGAAAAGCATGCAGTCAAAACAACCAAAAATGTCATAATAATAACCGTGGCCAAGGGTCAAGAAAACACTAAATCTTTCAAAAGAGAAAACAAGCCTATAAAATATGTATGATTGTTAAAATATTAAAATGTACATATTTAAATACATAATATAGAATGTATAGAAAGTTCCTAAAAACATCTGGAAAACTCATCTCTGATGTAATATTCACAGGAAATAATCTGCTCAAAATTAATCAGAATCTCTTGTTCTCAGAAGTTGCAGTTATTAGTTTAGTTAATCACTTGTTCTGCTATTGATATACATTGAATATAATATCCAATATATATCCATAAAATATGTCACTTAGTCAGGCGCCATCACTATTTGCCACTTTACTGTAAACTACTAAATTTGTCCCTGTTAGGATCCTGTAGGAAGGATGACTTGATTTATCCAGAAATCAGATCTGATGATCAATGGTTGGGTTGTTGACAGGTTTGGATCTGAAGCGTTATGCAGCATAGATATACAGTGGTTCAAAGTGAGCCAACTTCTTGAAACAAGTAAACCCAAATTAGGTCCAATTAGGCTAACCCATCTTGTGCTACAAGCATCTGCTCTGGAGCAGGTTAGCAGTGCAGCATAAGGTTTCCATGGTGATTTACCCTGGTTACCATGATGATAATCTCTGGTTGTCAGTTAGCAGACTTCTCTCTTGCTGATCAAACACATATACGCATAAAGGAAAATAAAATCCACATAAGGGCTTTCTTGCATAACAGTTGGGTGACCTGGTAAATATGGAATTTTTGTAATATATAATATTAATATTGAGGTCAGTGGCTTCCTACCAAAACTCGTTTATGGAAATCAGTTCACAAGACACAGCCAATTATTTCATGAATAATAATCCACTCAAGTAGATTTCTGCAACAACCAGGATGTATTAGCTGCTAGTTTTGACACATCTTTCTATAAGCAGATAAATTACATTAATTGTGCACATGATGAACTATGCTGCTGGTGTCTTTTTGGGTTGTAGCTGTAAAGATGAACCTCTCTCATAATTCTGATGGTTTGCCAGTAATCCTTGATACTGTTGTGCCCCACAGTACTACATTAATTTCAAACAGAAATCTTGGATTTGCATAATGACAACAATGGACAACCGGTGTTCCTCCACCAAAACAGATCTATGATCTTGTAAATGATTGTTTGCATCTTAAAGTTATTTGTGAATGTCATTATTAATGAAGTATGATGGCCACTCAAACTCCACATATGCATTATTAAGTGTTAAATACACAAAGATTTAGAGCAGCAGCAAACAACTATCTATGGATTTATGGTGTCACACTCCTTCTGCCTGTGTTGCTATCCTAGCTTCTTTGTGGTTTGTTTTCCATAGCTGGTCTACTCTGTGTGCAAACCGGAGTGGTAGATTGTTGGAACAATGGAAAGACTAACAAAGTTGGTTTTGGTGAGTTTTATTTTCTCTGTCCACTTTGAATTAAATTAGGATGTTACAATGATACACAGGGTAAAATAACCATTTGTTTCTATGGAGCCTGGTAGAGATTGATATTGATATGGCTGCCCCTGGTTAAACAAAAGGTCCATGTCTGTAGGGATCCTTCCATAGTGCTGTCAGACACTTAGAATAACAATCTGAGCCTGTCAGTGGCAAAAACAACAACTTTTAGTGGAAATACAAAGACTTATTTTGTTGAGTTTTATTTTGTTTCTCTTCCCATTGAGATGCTGGTTCTCTAGTGCGACATATGGTATTTTTAACCCTACAAAGTGACTCACTAGATTCACTGACATGAACTGTGTCTAAATGTGTAATGCAGCCTTGTCTATGTGCTTGTTTTACTAACTGCTTCTCTGTATTTAATGATGCTGAATCTTGTTTTTGGTTGAAGACAACTTTCCACACAGGTGGAGAATAAAAATATATTTAATTGTCCTCGCCTGCATTGTAATTAATGTCTTTTCTACTGAATGTATTTGTAGCTTCATTAATTTAGTTTCTTTGCACAATAAACAACCAAACACTAAGACCATATGAAGGAAAGAATCATATAAATAAAGAGAAAAAAAAATTGTAAATGAATCCAACACATTTTAAAGCTCAGCTCAATATGATGAAATACTGTTATTTCATCCTGCTTCTATCAACAATGAGTGTTTTGCTGCTCATGTTAATTTAATTATTTTCCAAATTCTATCAATGACATCCCAGTCAGTTTGTAACTTTGTAACAGCCAGTTATTGATCGACTGTCTGCTCATTCAGACAAAGCAACAACAGCCATGGGCCGAGTTGGCGGGCTGGCTTCTGGAGCTCCAGCCCCCAAATGTTTTCTCAAAAGCCCTTTTTTAAAAGCTTTTTAAAATAACTTCAACTTTGTGTAATTTCCACTCAGTCTCTCTGCCTGGACTAGAAAATCAGTGGAACTGCTGGGGAAATATCATGGTAAATGGACTGTCCTTTGAGTAGTCTTCCGACCACTTAAAGCGCCTTTACACATGCCACAATCGCTCTTTCCCACACATTCACCCGTATATCACCATCTATTACAGTATTATGGCAGGGATTTACATATAGATGCAGATGCTTAAAATTAATTCTGTGAATTCTACTCCAGAATAGTGTAACACAAATAGGTTCCAATATTATTAATGCTGTTTATTCCAAATTCTTACGCTATCTATGTTGTGTATATATTATCTAACTTAAAAATAGTTAATAGAAATAGTAATTTTTGCCTTTGTGGCAGGAGTGAAAATTAGTCATCCTCAACACTTAATGTGGTTTCAGAATGATGGAGATGTACAGGATGATTTTTTTTCTTAGGCAACTATCATGAGTTTGCCAAGTGATTTTAGGGATGTCTCAACTGGCTTTAAAAATAATGCATATAGCTGCTATAAATTAGAAAAACTGACCCCAGACCCCCCTAGGTTTGAACTAAGCCCTGAATGTTTACGGCTCTGACGCCCTCTCTAGCCAATCATAGTCCATGGTTACGTTAAATATTTTGAGCCTATTTAAGGCTTCTATTTAGTGAATTTTTAACTCTTTAGGTGTCCATCGGATTTTTTGATTTCCCATAATAGTAACTCTTCATAGGTTCCTATAGAAGGTGTAAAGGCTCGATAGAAGTCCTGTGTGACCTGTGGATGAGCTGGTGGATCAGATTAGTAGGAAGAAAAGCGGAGATCTGATGTTTGTTTGACTTTGGTGTGCAAAAGTATACTCTTTATTCTTATTATATATCCAACTTTATTTTGCCCCAACCCCTCCCCTCCACCCAGCCCCCACAACCGGTGGCATTCCCATGTCACCAGTTACTGTCACTGTTACAATAGCCAATCAGAGCTCACCTGCAGAAAGAAGGCAACCAAACAAAGAAGAGCAGAAAAAAGGGTTACTTTCAGTTTGTTTTTTCATGTTAAATAGTAATAAATACATTGAGATGCAGTGGTTCTTACTTTATCCTTTTCTCTTAAGCAGAAGGGTTAAAAAGTTTTTTTTATTTCTGTTTCTATTTCTTTTTATTTCTTTATTGATCTGTGTTGGATCTTTAGCAGCAATCCGGACCAGTTGTCATGGTGATTAGCAGCACAGAGAGGAGGAGCTGTCTGGAGGAGAAACACAACAGGAGGAGGAGAAGAAGAAGAAGAGAGCAGGGAGGCGGGGAGGATAAGGAGGAGGAGGAGATCCCTATGAGCGCCAGGAAGGCATCAGTGTCCTGTCACCTTCTCCTCCCTCCACCTCCCTCCCTCTCTCTGTACTCTGTCACAACTGAGCGGAGAGCGACAGAGGAAGGACACAAACCCTAAGAAAAGTGAGTTTAACACTGACAGGAGAGAGAATCCATGAGTCCTGAATCACATACATGTTGGTGTTTTCTCCTTTTGAAACCACCTTCTGTCTTCTTGATGCAGCAGTATATATGTGGTTGTATATATATATATATATATATGTGTGTGTATATACATATATATATATATATACACACACACACACACACACACACACATATATGTGCGTGTGTCAAGACTGCTCGTGTCTAGGAGCTGTTCATATGAACATACTAATGTCGTAACTAACCATTGTGAACATGAATATGTGCTCTCCTTCCACTGCCACCATATGGAGAAAGATGGAAAAGCGTGGCTCCTCTCTCTTTCTTCTTCACCCTCCTCCTCCTCTCCAGGCTTAAACAACAACCAAGTAGAACACACAACTCCTCAAACCCGAGAAAATCAAATAATATTAAACAACAATAATAATATTAATAAAAACAAACTTGTCACAATCATTCCTTTCCAATTACAGTCGCAACAAAAGACAACAAACTAAAACAGGATAAAAGGAGAGTTTTCCCAGCATCTTCCTCCTCCTTCCTCCTCCTCCTCCTCCCTCCTCCTCTCATGCAGTACAAACTGTCTCCTTCAGCACAAAGTTCACCTCTTTGTCTCTGAACTCTGGCTGAATGTGTGTAGTTGTAGTAGTTGTAGTTAAAATTGTATGGCTTTAGGGCATGGTTCAGGTTTTATCAAGAGTTGGCTGGCCCCTCATCTGAGTCCGGCCTCCCTCTGCCCCCCGCAGCGGGGTTATTGTTGTTGGAGGCAGGGTAGTAGTCCTCAGGGGGTGGGGCTTGTGGCCCTGGGGCGGTGGGGGCCGTCCGAGTCCGGAAGGCAGACAGTCCGATTGGCAGAGCGAGGGGCAGGGAGGCAGAGCCAAACTGAGAGGCCTCCATGGAAGACACCGCCCCGAGGTGGTGCAGCCCTAGGGACACGCCCACATCCATGCTGTCACTCATCTGGGGCGAGGATCCCTGCTGGCCCCCCCCTCCACCGATGCCCGTCTGTCCGCCCTGCCGCAGGCCACGCCCACCGTTTCCGTGGTGGGAGTAAGTTGGGTGGGGGTGGTGGGGCGGGTCCAGGAAGTGGCGCTGGTGTTGTTGGGAGGCAGCCGGCTTGTGAAGCAGCAACTGGGTGTATGCTGGGTCCTGACCCCCACCTCCACCATCACTGCCTGGCCACATCCTCATCTGCTGCTGGGAGGGAGCCTGGTGGGGGAGAGTCCAGGACAAAAAGGTGACAGAGGTGAGACACATTCAGAGTAACAGAGGAACAAAAACACATGTATTTGTTGTGTCTGGTTCTGTCCAATCTGCTTTGGGGACGGGTTCCTGAAACTAAATCTGGACACTAGTCAAGAGACAAGGTGTTGGCTGCAGTGACTGGTCAAACAGATCGCTCACTCCCATTTTACTACTGCATCTGTGTCAACGAGGACAACAAATCCTTTAAAACACACAGCCAAACAGTGCAGGGTCAGATTACAAAGATAAAAAAAGATTTAAAAAAATTTAAAACATGTATGTTAATCACAGTCCACGTGCATAAGGGTGCGCTAAAGTGGTGTTGTGTGCCAGCATATCAGTGTAGACCACAGCGTGGTGTGATGTGATGTAAATAAGATAATGATTGCCATATAAGGTTTACTTCCTGTTGGCAGTAGTTGGCACTGTGACTACAACTGAGTATTGGCAGGTAGATGTGTTCAGGCCATCGACAAAGATGGATGTCACGTCTCCACTTGCTCCCACTGTACAAAAATGAAGCCAAAACATCCCAGATATAGCCCCTGCTATCTTTCTCCATTCAGAGCCAGAGTCTGTACAGTATTAATCGGGAATGGCACCTGATGTGTAACCACCTTTTTATAGTTTGAAAAAACTAATTAAAACCAAACTTATCAGAAAGAGTTCAAACACTTGAACATACAGTTCAGAAATATTTGGACAGTAACACCATTTTCATGAATTCAAGGGGTTGAACAAAAATATCCTATCAAACGTTTCGAAATTGAAACCGTTTTTTATACAAAGTCTCCTCATTTCAGGGGCTCAAAAATAATTGGACAAATTAACATTACCATAAATACAATTTTCATTTTTAATACTTTGTTGAGAATCCTTTTCAGGCAATGACTGCCTGAAGTCTGGAACCCATGGACATCACCAAATGTTGGGTGTCCTCCTTTGTGATGTTGTGCCAGGCTTTTATTGCAGCTGTCTTCAGTTCTTGCTTGTTTGTGGGTCTTTCTGCTTTAAGTTTTGTCTTAAGCAAATTAAATGCATGTTCGATCGGGTTGAGATCTGGTGATTGACTCAGCCATTGCAGAATATTCCACTTCTTTGCCTTAAAAAACTCCTGGGTTGCTTTCGCAGTATGTTTTGGGTCATTGTCCTTCTGTACTGTGAAGCGCCATCCAATCAACTTTGCTGCATTTGGCTGAATCTCAACAGAAAGAATATCCCTATACACTTCAGAATTAATTCGGCTGCTAATGTCTTCTGTCACATCATCAATAAACACTAGTGACCCAGTGACATTGGAAGCAATGCATGCCCATGCCATCACATTGCCTCCACCATGTTTTACCTTCTCCATACTTTCTTCTTCCCATCATTCTGGTACAGGTTGATCTTAGTTTCATCTGTCCAAAGAACACTGTTCCAGAACTGGGCTGGCTCCTTTAGATGTTTTTTGGCAAAATCTAATCTGGCCTTTCTACCTTTGAGGCTGATTAATGGTTTGCACCTTGTGGTGAACTCTCTGTATTTGCTCTCATGAAGTCTTCTCTTTATCGTAGACTTAGATACTGATACACCTACTTCCTGTTGAGTGTTCTTCACTTGGGTGGATGTTGCGAAGGGGGTTTTCTTCACCATAGAAAGGATCCTGCGATCATCCACCACTGTTGTTTTCTGTGGATGTCCAGGCCTTTTTGAGGTCCTGAGCTCACCAGTGTGCTCTTTTTTTCTCAGGAAGTACCAAACTGTTGATTTGGCCCCTCCTAACATTTTCGCCAGCCCTCTGATGGATTTCTTCTTCTTTGCAGCCTGAGGATGGTCTGTTTCACTTCCATTGAGAGCTCCTTTGACCGCATGTTGTGGGTTCACAGCAACAGCTTCCAAATGCAAATGCCACACCTGGAATCACCTCCAGACTTTTTACCTGCTTAATTGATGATGAATTAACAAGGAAATAGCCCATGCAGCCCATGAAATAGCTTTTGAGTTAATTGTCCAATTACCTTTGGTCCCTTGAAAAAGGGGCGGCTACATATTAAAGAGCTGTAATTCCTAAACCCTTCCTCCAGTCTGGATGTGAATACCCTCAAATTAGAGCTGAGAGGCTGCACTTTAAGCCCATATTGATTATATAACTGTATCTTGAATATGTTTTGGTAAACAGCTAAAATAACAGAACTTGTGTCAGTGTCCAAATATATATGGACCTAACTGTACATCAGTGTGACAAGAACTATCTAAATGGCAGAAATCATCTTCGGGAAAAATGTATTTGCTGTGTTTTTTTTTGTTTGGTCCATGTCCCACCTGCTAGCATGAAGGCAGGCAATTCTTCATTGGCACATAAACTTGTGTTTGATCTTCACATAATTGTGACAGAAAATCACAAATAAAGTCAGCACCACTTTGCTTCCCTTGCCTGCCAAATAGACCATAAAAATTAAGAGGTCGCCTTTTTATTGTCACATATTCAGAAGCCCATATTTTGTCAAACATGGTGGAGACAAAAGTAAGGACCTTGTACCAAAGTCTCAAAAGGTCCATAAAGATCAGGTTTTGGGAAGCTCCAGGTTCTTTTCGTGGAAAGATAACAACTTATGAAGACAGCTCTTGATTTTAACATTGTCATGGATGAAGGAAGATGAAAAGAGAGTATTTTTTAGGCTGTAGATGCTTTTCTATTGTCTTGCACTTCAAAGCTCATTTCTCTCTGTTCCACATGAATATCGTATCCTAGATATAATCAGTCACAGGAGAACACATAGAGTTGTTCTGATACCAATCGGAAATTCCCTGAATATTATCAGGGTTATCAGGTATCTGCAAGTTCTTGTGTCTGTGTACCAATCCAACACCACGTTCCCAGCAGTGTAGTGTTTTTCTCTCTCAGGATAGTAAAATCATGACCCATTACACAACAATGATGGCAATCATGAAGGCTAAGTAGTATATGCTTGTTAAAAAAATAAAAATAAACAGTATATATACACTTTTTTTTTTTTTTTTTACACGAAGTTCAGGTATTGGAATCGGTATCGGGAGAAAAAAAAATGTTTATCATGGGAATATCGCTACACAGGATAGGACTCAAAGCTGCCACAGCAGTGTGTATGTAAAGCTTGGCAATTATACAGTGCTATGTGTACCTGAGGGCTGGTCATCTCATAGTCTGAATGTGTAACAGCAGAGTTGTAGTAGCGGTTACTGTAGCGGTAGTTGCGGTTGTCATTGGAAGAACCACTGGAGCCACCTGGAAGTAAAACAGACCAACATTAAACTTATACTACTGTGGAAACACAGTTCATTCATTTTGCCTTTTAAATGAATGCATTTTAAGATCTATTTCACATCCATACTGGCAAAAAAGTGAAGGAAAATCAGTATTGGTTCCATGTTGCTTTGTTTTATAGTTGTTAGCATAATCAAATGTTTCCCAAAAACACATTTAAAAGAGACTGAAAAATTTAACTTTATACAGGTAACTTCATTAATCCAATCTGTTTAATCAATTTAAAGCCTAAAATTCAGATTATTAGATCTGTCAATATAAAAAGGGCTGGTAGTCTGTTAGAACAGGAATGAATCAAAGTTTTTCTTAGGGATTGTCACACCTGAAGTTTGGTTCACTTTGTTCGGACCAAAGAATAAAAAAAATCATTGCTTAGTTCTGTCACATTGTCTGCTCACCATCACTTATTACAAACAGACCAAGAAGTATAATAATGGACATATGTGAACTGACAGGTAACTCATTCATTGGACAGTTAGGGTCATGTGTCATCCTGCAGAGTTACAGTATGTGGACCCACCAGAGAAAATACAAACAAAGTGTTTCGCAGTTGCTGACAACAAAAATCTGTAAATCTGTTTGCTCATTCGTTTCAACATCTGTCATTTCAATTCAATTCAATTCAATTCAATTTTATTTGTATAGCGCCAATTCATAACAGAAGTTATCTCAGGACACTTTTCAAATAGAGCAGGTCTAGACCGAACTCTTTATAACATTATTTACAGAGACCCAACAGTACCACCATGAGCAAGCACTTGGCGACAAGGGCAAGGAAAACTGCCTGTTAACTGGGCTTCTCAGGCAGGAAGTGCAAGCCATACCTTCATCTGTCAGCTTTTTCACTAGACAACATGGCTGTTATTGACACTTCTGTCTTCCCTTTTCATGGCATCTGTGACACTAACAGTCTGACTCATTTTCTTGCACATCAATAAGGTAAATGAATAACTTAATTATTCAGGACAACTTAATCTTTTTGAGGATTAATCATTTTCATGGAGCTTGTAAACTGTGTTAGAGGATAAGTGAAAGAGCTGGTGATAAACTGCAAAAAGGGAAGAGTCAGCAGGATCCAATGTTTATGTTCGTTTTCACTTGCTCGGTTTAACAAGTGGGTTAGAAATAAATTACTTGCCCGTATTCAAATTTGATTGATTGATTTCAAAGACCCTCTTAGCTGTCATGCGTGCCATGAGATTGTTATGATACTCCAACAATGTTTTTTGGAAACTTGACACAACTTTGAAAAAATGACCCAGTTTTATCCGCCTTTCTCTCAAACCTGCAGTAAACCACCATTTTCACAGGAAGCAGGATGGCTCAATCCATAGCTACTTCTATCGTCACCGCCGAAAAAAACTGTGTTAAATTCAATTGGGCAAGTGAGTTGTTAGATTTACTAGCCTGATGTGCCATTTTAATTGTCCCGGTTAGAGTGTTTGTGGAGCAGACAAGTATTTTACCAGAGCTAGAAACAGAGCTAGTAGTGGAGGTTGAATGGGAGTGGTCCATGGCAGGAGAAGTGGATGTAGATGAACTGGTGTTGGTTCCTTCATCTGTCGTCTTCTTGAAGAAATTGTGCTGCAGGGCGTAGAATGGGGTGATACGGCTTTTAGGGTCGTAGTCCAGCATGCGCAGGATCAGGTCTGGAAGAGGACAAACGTGGCCATGATGATAATGATAATATTTGGCGGTAGCCGGAATGAGATATTTTGTAGTTCTGCCTCACCTCCAGCATATGGCACTTTTTACCACCTCCATGTTACCGTATGTTGGATGAACATTGCTTGGTGAGGTGCATGGTAATAAAGCATTTTGACCAAATTGACTTCTGTTTTGGCTCTTTACTGGGTTAAGAGGTCAGTCATTGCTGGTAATTTTCACCACATACCTTGACCTAGGAAGGTCATTCAAACTTTGAAATGTTCAACTTTTTAAGGGGATGCATGCTTCTATGTGAACATATTATTAAGCATTCTGTTTAGCTACTCCTGCTGCCACTTCAGTATAAGAGCTAATGGTTATACTTTGTAGACAGTTAGCCTAAATGAGGCTTCTACAAGACTATTCAGCTCACACTGATGTGAGACGTTATAGTACACCCTAACCTTTATTAGTGAATTTAGAGTATTTTAGGAGTGAAGAGTGAACAACTGAAGAGAAAGGTTGGATATAATTTTTCACATCTTTCTTGCAGTGAAATGGTGCACATGGATGTTGATGGATTCCCCGGAGCAGTGGTCCTCAAAATGTTGGTGCCAAGGACCCCCAAATAAATACACATCAAGCTGAGGACCGGTTTGATAAGGTGTAGTCTCAGGGGTCCCTGTTAGGGTTGCAAAGGGGCGGACATTTTCCGGTGAATTTCCAGAAACTTTCCGGAAACTTTCCATGGAAAGATAAGCTGGGCAATTTTGGAAACATTCCAATTTGGAAACTTTCATGGGAATTAATGGAAATTATGGGAATTAATGGGAATTCAGGAGAATTAACTGGAAAAGTTGAGTAATTCATACAATATTGAAATGTATTTTCTTTGTATTTGTACTACGTTGGTCATTTTAATGTCGATTTTAAATGCTCATACACACGTGTTTACATTGCTGCTTTAGTCCTTTAGACCAATTTATGCATTGCATGGTGTTGCTGTGCGTGCAATACAATGTAAAGTTTTGTTTTCGAGCTGGTTTGCTAAATAGGCTAATATAGCTAACAATAACACTAGCCTGCTACTGCCCCTGGTGGCTCAAGACAAACGCCACAGCACTTGTCGAAATTGAAATAGGCAAAAATGGCAAAATATTATTGAAATGTAAGACTTGCAATAACGTAATTACTTGAAATGTTAGTGTTTCTGTAGAAAAACATTATTATTATTTCAAATTGAGCTTGTTTAGATGAGCCACAAGCAATAATAAGACAGCTGCTGCACTGGTGGCGTCCATGTTCTTTTCGACTCGTAATGCCCAAAGACAAATGGAACGCTATAAGTGGTAGTAGCCCAAACCATTGACCTTTAGCTTAACATATGATGGTAGCTAGCATGCTGCCTTTGATTTACTATGGCTATAGTTATGATTATATGCGTACAATACAATTAACCCAAATAGGTTAATAGTATTAAGTATTTTCTGAGGACTCCCTTGAATCCGCCCAAGGACCCCTGGACCCCCGGTTGAGAACCACTGCTCTTCTCAATGAGTAAATACCAGATATAAAGGGGACTTTTCATTGTCATGGAATCTATCACTGCCATATTAACTGTGTTTATATCGATGTCAATACATCTCAGAAATATAAATGTAAATCAGTCATGGTTTTGGTGATCCAGTAGTGTCCTGCAGATCAGTGTAAAGTTGTTGGTTTACCTTTAAACTTCAGGTAGTCACAGGGGGCGTGTCCTGGCTCTCCTGACCTCCGCCCCCCTGGGCCGCCAGTCTCTACACCCAAAATCTCATGAAGACGCCGTGTGGCTGGGGGCTTATACTCCTGGAAAACACAAAATATTAAGATATAGAAAAATATTAATTCAAATTACACACACAAATTACAATCCACAACAACCCATGTCCTAACTAGTAGAGTACAGATCTCTACCAAGCAACAGATGGTCAATCACCTACTGCAATGCCGTTACTAACTGCTAGATGCAGAGATTTTGCAAAGTTTCAAGTGTTTTCGAATAGTGCAGTTTAAGTTTTTTTTAATATAGGTCTTTGTATGTATTAAGTTAATATATATATATATAAAGTGTTTTTGTATGGTATAGTCTCATTAAGATGCACAGAATAGTGTAATAGTATTGTAACCGAGCGTTCTTGGTCCAAACCTGTCAACTCCAAACCTGTCAATTTAAACATTGTTATTAATTTAAACATTTTGTTTATTTGTTTACATTTATCTACAACAATGCATGCAACCAGGCGGCTTTATAACAATATAATACATACAGAAATCTAAATTTTAGAAAAAACTTGCAAAAGCTGAAATTCTAAATAATTTACACTTGCATTTGTTGCATTTTCATAGACTGGAGCCTGCCTGTCCCAGAAGGTTAATTTTTTGGCACAGAGCTGATTAGACTGGCCCCCAGTTAGTGAATTTAATTCCAACAAGTAACCAATATCATGTTCAATTTCAACAGCTGATTTTGTAGTGAAGTCTGCCTCTCTCAATATACAATTTTTTTTTTAACTGGCAGATCTTGACCTCTCCAATAGGAGACCGTGCAGACAAATAGCAGTAACATAAGACAGTGGCCCATGAGGTATCTTTTGTTTCCACTTCCTTACAGTCAAGATGGTGAGGATTTGTTCATCTAGTATAGTATCTTACATTAGTGGATCGCAACATATTGGGTATGGAATGAATCTGCAGGTGCTCTGGTTCAAGATGAAACCAAATGTTTCTATGGACATCAGGTTTATGAGGACAAAGGCCAAAATGTGGCATGCAAGAGACTAGGTCAGCCTTTTTTAGCCCAGCAGTTGATCACTTGAGCCCCCAACTGGTCGGTTAAGAGGAGTCAGTAGTTGGTATAAAACAGGCAATGAAATAGGCTTTTCAAACATTCTGAATCGCCGCAACCACAAGTCCTTCAGCATACAGTCATAAATGTACACAAAATAATGAGGCTGAGCCAGTGACTTAAGTCATTCATATGCATATTATTTAAAACACAAGTAAAAGCTGTAGCTGTAGTTTCCTTTACTACTGTGGCTGTTGAGTACATTGTTCACAATAATTCGAAATACCACATTTGATTCTTGTGCATCATGTCACCAGCAGGTGTTAGACGACACAGGTCTAAAGGTAAAAGTTTACTTTTGACTGAAAAATGTCAATGGATCTGGGACCCCGGTTAGCTCAGTCGGTAGAGCTGGTGACCCATATACAGAGTTGCTGCAGCGGCCCAGGTTTGAATCCGACCTGCGGCCCTTTGCTGCATGTCATCCTCTCTCTCTCTGCCGACCTTTCCTGTCTATCTACAGCTGTCTCTATCCAATAAAGCAAAAAAAAAAAATGCTTTAAAAAAGTCAATGGATCTGAAATCAAATACCTTCTTGATGTCCTTGTTCTTCTTCACTGTCCACAGACCATCTGACAGCTTGTCGAAGTACTTCCTAGCTTTAGGAGCTGCATCCAGCATGTGGCTGGGTGGGACCCCCAGAACCTCCACAATCTTATTCATCTGGTCAACCTACACACACGCGCACACACGCGCATGCGCACGCACACACACACACACACACACACACACACACACACACACTTATAATTAGTCTTTGTATCGTGTAACATGCCAATTAAGGCTCCAAACATATATTATACTTACTGTGACTACAATACAGTTAATGCCATTCAGGATACACAGGGTTTAAGACTGGAGGAGACACAGAGTCCCTGCTCTGTCCTGTGTCTTCTGGGGAAGTGGTCTCAACAAGGAAAATAAATAGTTTTTTGTATTATGTATTATGGTACATTTAACTAGATTAATTATTTAAATATTCCCTCCAGACATGTATTGAGACATATATACAAATAGTCCGCTGGGAACAATTATGTGTGTCTGTCCGTTTCCAGATTAAAATCCTTAAAAAGACATCTACTCCTTCTACCTCATAGAGGTAGAGATGTCTCCTACTTCACTTTCCATTCCAAGTACATTCTCAGTGTATGTGCATTGGTGGCTTCAAGTTTCACATCACACTGTAGAAGTTGCATACTGGACTAGGATTTACCTCATTGGAGCCACTGAAGAGAGGCTCTCCTGTGTGCATCTCTACCAGGATGCATCCCAGAGACCACATGTCAATGGCCAGGTCATATGGCATTCCCAACAGAACCTCAGGAGAGCGGTAAAACCTGCTCTGGATGTACTGATAGATCTGAGAGGAGGACCAGGAGGAAGTGGAGAGCAGTTCAAAGATCAGAGAACAATTAAAATACTTGAAGCTTATCTTTATATCTAGTGGTGTACAACCTATTCAAATGTTGCATCTTCAACAACTCTAAAGCTCGCTTCATTTATAGGCTGAGGTATGTCTGTGTGTTGCCTGCTGTTTCAGTAGCTGTCCACTGTGAGGAGCCAAGTTCTTCTAGAGCAGCAGTGTAACCAGTCAACCACAGTCTGTTACCGCCATTCAGGACATTCAACCTTCATACAAAAGCTTAACTAACTTGCACTGGCTTTTTCTGACATTGCTGACAATGTAAGGCAACTAAAACACTGAATTGCATTTAGTGCAAAATTATACATTTTAATTATACAAAAGAATCTTGGTAAAGAGTGGGTAAGTACAATACCACTTACACATGTGTATGACACATTTATTCATCTATTTTCTAAACCCTAGTCACCGAGGGTCGAGCATCTCCCATCAAGCACCACAGATGAGAGGCAATTATAACAAATTATTTTATATGAAGAAAACTGATGAATGTACTGTGGCAGCATTGCTGGAAGGTTTGTGTAACTTCCTTAAACGTGCATGGATGCTGCTCACCCTCTGTCCGAGCTGGCAGGAGGATCCAAAGTCAACTATCTTGATTGCAGATCTCTTGGGGTTACACAGCAGGATGTTCTCTGGTTTCAGGTCGCAGTGGATGATTGACAGCTCTGGAGTGGCCAGGAATAGTAAAGCTGTAGACAAAAAAAACATTGTTTGAGTCTAAATATTTTTTTTGTTATTGTAGTTATGGCAATATGTAAATACAATTTAATTTATTGATATGATTTTAGTCCTTGTGTCCACCTTGTGTTTTATAGTTCAAATTATTTAATTTTATTTATTTTGTAAAACATTTTATTGCATTGTACTACTACTTTGTGGATAAGTAGAGCCACAGGGAGTCTCCTATTAGATCACACCTTTAAAGCTGAAGTAGGTAACTTTATTAAAATTAATCTTTTGTCATATTTGAAACTTTCACTATATCCTGACACTAGTTTATAGGACAAATAATCTGTAAAAAGTTCCACCAGGCAAGCTATGATGGGTCGGACACCAATGTCTATAATTGTCTTCTCTGGTACAGTGACCACCTTAAGAGACAAAAATGTTGTTTCGTCTGAACCCGGCATTAGTGTTCCCATGCACCCACCTGTACAGAGCTGCTGTGCAAATTTCCTGGTGAGATTGAGGGAGACTCCTCTGAAGTTGGTGTTCCTCAGCAGATCATACAAGTTGTAGCTCAACAACTCAAACACCAAACAGAGATGATTCCTAAACATAAAGTGACGCTTCAGGTGGACTGCACAGAGACAAATTGACAGACAGACACACACAGAGACAGATGGGAGACAAGGAGGAAGGTTAAAATATACACTCAAACAAAAATTAGGTCAGGCAAATTACAATGACAATGAATGTCTCTAGTCTTGGCTTTCAGATTCAAGTACCATTCGAACACAAAATACTAGGGGATTAGATACTGTGAATACTTTGGATACCTGTATGTTTGATTTTCTTTAAATTTAATACAACTAAAGAATTCAGTTTTGAAAAATTTAACGTGTATGTGTGAGTGCGTGTTGTCCATCTTACCTATGTAATATTTCATCTCAGTGTCATGCTTGTTCATGAGCTCCAGCAGGCGTAGTTCAATCTGTGCCTGGTTTAGAAATGCCTTTTTGTTCTTAATGATCTTAATAGCAACCCATTCCTGCTCATGGTGGTCATAGGCCTTCACCACCTGCAACAGACATCAACAGACTTTACCATCACATGCCAGGATAGAAACATATGCTTAGACTTTTTCCATTTTCTTCATTAGACAGGGAATGACTCAGACTCTGGTGTCCCAGGCTGTCAGAACATTGGTTTGACATGTCTATAATGTTATGTCTGTTAAGTGGGTCCCAATAAGTACAACTATTACTTTAATTAAAGCTAATGGGGATCTTGATAAATGAGATGAAATCCACTAATTATACCCAGAAACCCAGAAAAATACTTCCAGCAAGCAATGTCCCTCCAAAACCACACTTTACACAGTATACATTTCTGTTTAAGCACAAATTAAACAAACAAGATATAACATGTTAACTAGCACACTTTAGAGGTATTAGTATGGGGATTTCTGAACATCCTGTCTCCAGCTCTGTACCTTATTTAATATTCCTTTAAAAGACACAGAAACTCACTGATAGTATACTCTACTGACAGACATACAAATTTAAATCAATTAATTAACTAAGCTATTTGGTGCAATTTTTTAAACATGCATGGATTTGACTATTGATCAATTCAGACATTATTTATGAGGTGAATATGTTACGTTGTTGGGGTTTATAAGGAAGCTTGACGGTGAAGAAAGGTTGTTTTTTTAATGCTACTTTGGGGTCCACTTAATGTGGATTCAGTTTTAATACCAAAGTTTCCTTTGTCAGTCTCACCTGTCCAAAGGAGCCCTTCCCAATCAGCGAGTCTATCTCATAGCGGTCCAGCCACTTTTCTCCATTTTTGACAATATAGTCATAGTTGTCGTCGTCGTAGCCATCATTGTACACTTTTCTCTCCTTCTTGGTGCTGCTGTCCTCTGGAGGGACCTGCTGGGCCCGCCGCTTCTTCTTAGTATAGTACACCTGATGAAAAAACAAACTTCACATCATCTGCATACCAGTAAATATCCTTATTTCACGATTTCACACCACTATACAGTAGCTATTTGTCCCTGATGTAAAGCAGAGTCCTCTGTTGTTCATACCAGTTATGCACACGTACAGTACACACAAATGTCTCAGTGGTCGCCCCACACAAACCTCTACTGCTCAGGGTCAGGACCAACTCCTGCTAACAATGCTCATACAACTGAATCACAAAGTGGGGTCAAGATTAGCGCTAATCATTAGGGACTGAGCCAGCGACCGCTGGAGGTCCCTATTGTATTTGCTAGAATTATTTTTCTTACCTGTTATTTATAGCCCCTTCGACTGCATTTTTCACCCACTGAACATATACGACAGCTCAATTTTATTTGGCAAAGTTGTCGGGCCTGGTGAAAATTGGAAATTCTTCACGTCGCTTTTGAGTCGGCCACTAGGTGGCGCTACTATCATCAAAAGTGCTTTAGGCTAATAACTCCCGCATCGTTTGTCGCACATTCAAAAAACCTTATATCCATGCGTTGGGTGAATGGAGCTGAATCTCCCCATATAGGCCACTTCCGCCTAGAATTTTTTTCCGCTAGAGCGCAAAATGTACAGAACTACTACTTTTTCGTGTTCCTCCTATGCGCTTTCTCCGATTCGCACAAAATTTTCCACGTAGTATCTAGAAACTGTCCTGGTAAAAAAAGTAATTTGAAGAATTTTGATATTTAAAAAAATAAGCACGCTATAAAATTAGCACTAACTGTAGATTTTCGTCAAAACAGGAAGTGGAGCATTTCACCACATTGGTATGTCCGATTGACACCAAGCTTGGGTCCATACTTCCCCATGTCTTCCTTAGGCATCGTGCACAATTTCAGGCCATCGCCACAAGGTGTTGCTCTTTAAAATGAACAAGTTTATATCTCCTTATCGGCATGTATGATTAAAACGAAACTTGGTATGATGATTGCCCATGGCCCCCTGACGCTTGCTAAAAAATGTGTCAACAATCCGCCACTAGGTGGCGCTCTGGTGGCAGGGTAAATTACTGTGTGGAGACTGTAATAGTTATGAATATGAAATTCACAGGGCACGTGTAGAGTGGTGCCTGTAGCTCACATACCAAAAATTGTGTTTGTCTTGTTTGTAGCGCCCCCTTCAGTATTTCAAAAAAGCAGCCCCGGCGTCACGTTTCACCGATATGTATGAAACTCGGTAGGCACGTGTAACGTACCGAGACATACAGAAAGCCTCTTGGACCCGTGCCCCAAACCCCACAGGAAGTCAGCCATTTTGATTTTGATTTTCATATTCTGCTAACTTTTCGCCTTGTATTTGAACGAACTCCTTCTAGGGAATTTATCGGATCTACTTCAAAATTGGTCAGTACAGTCAAAAATCATTCCTGATTAAAAGCTGTGCTATTTGTGATTATACGTTGAAGGGCGTGCCAATGGCTTTCCGTCAAAGTTGGCCATTTTGAATTCCGTGCTCATTTTCGGTGAATTTTTCGCCTTGTATTTGAACGAACTCCTTCTAGGGAATTTATCGGATCTATGGCATTGATGTCCATGGCGTGGCGCTGAATTTCCAAGTTTTGCAGTGAAGAGTCTCACTATGAATGCAGAAGTCTTTTGCACGGTGTCTGAAACGCGTGCGACGTAGAGCGGTCTCCCTTGGCTTCCGGCGGTGAGGGCTTGGGTGTGGGGTGATGTGGTTTGGCGCGGCTGTGGCAGGCGACCGCCGTGCAGGCCCCGACATGGGGAGATGGCAAGGTCCCGCCCAACGCTGCTTGCAGCTTCAATTTTAATCATTATCTCTGACTTTGTTAGAACTCAGCTCGTTTACATTTTTTGGACTGGCTGTTACTAACAAAATCAAATATTATAATAATACATTTTTTATTACATACAGTTGTGTATTCATAGATAACAGACAATACTAACAGAAACTTGTTGTACTACTTGGCCATGTAGAGATATATCATTCTCTTCTAAAACACTTCAGTGGAGCAACTTCAGCAAGTGTCAGCTGATATTAATTCAGCTCATGTTGCTTTGTTTTCAAAATTATTCAGAAGGCAGCCAGTTAATGCGTGCTTTAACTTTACTGTCCAAAATAATGCAAATATCCTGAAGAAAACCCTGGTACAGGGTGAATTTTTCCCTTAAGGCCAATAATGTCTGAGATTATAAGCTAACAGAAAGCAACTTATTGATATTCATTCTTGTTTGACTTAATTTAAATTTTAAATTGTTTTTAAGTATATTTTTGTTCAGTTCATGTAGCTGATTTAAAACCTGATTAAGCCAGGTTATTAAGTACACCCCTGCTTCAATCCCCAAACAGTAAGTCCCAAAATGATTAACCCTTGGTGGTTATCCCACTGACAGCATTGTTAGAAGTATTTCGAACAATACATTATGATGCTGAAAACAGGCAAATACACTGAAACCCTGAAAAAGTAATTCAAACTAGAAAAGACAAACACATGAAACGGTGTATGTGTGCCTATTGGTGCTGTATAACCTGTTTTGTGTCATACCTCATTGATGTGCTTGTAAGTTTTGATGAGGTCAACAGAGAGTTTCCTTAGTGGGGCGCTGGCAGGGTCTCTGAAACTGGGGGGGATCCTCCGCTGGAGTATGGTCATATCAGACAGCACCTACAGAGAACAGCAACACTTCAGAAACATGTCTAAAGTTTGAATAAATACATTGAAATTTTGATTTATCAAGACATTGTAGATTTTTTTATAATGTGTTTATTCAGTTGAAAAATAATCCCAAAGTCCCAAAAAATGGCTAGGGGAGAGGTCGACATGAACAGATGAAGTCCAGTCCCAAATACAGGCCAGTAGAAGAAAAAAAGGGTGGATAAACTCCCAGTGCCTGTTTAATTAAAGAAGCCATATTTTTTCTGCATGTAAAGTGACAAAACCCTAAGTCCACACCAAAGAGAGTTACTGTCTCCCACAGAAAACACTACTTTTGTACTGCCTGACTCGCCTTGGTGGTATTCAGTCTTTTCTTCCATCATATTGTAACAGGCACCACCTATAGGCTAAGTGACATTCCAGTGGGCGGGACCAGGATTCATTCGGAGAACAGGATTACAAGTACTGCAGTAGGTTCCATTAGTGTAACTTAAACACTGTTTCTTCACACTGGAATTTATTTTGACTGGGCTCAGTAGTAACGTAAATTACAATTGACTATATACTTATAAAGAAAGTTAGAATTATGGTAATATCTCAGTACATCTCTTCTCATTTTAAACTGCTGCCTGTCAGGTTAGTTTAATAGCCAGACCTACAGCAGCAGTTTTTGGGCCTGAACCAATTTGGGCCTGACAAAACCTGCCAGGTTTGGGCAGAGAATCAAAGCTCTAGGAGAGTGTATATTCCTGGCTGAGCAAAGAAGTGCACTTCCTAGAGAAAATGTTATGTATTATGACCATATTTAATCACTGCACTGACTCATAAAATGTCATGCTAATAGATCATTGGTAGCCTTGTTGATGTCAAGCTGAAAAGTTATTGCCTGTTGTTAGCTATGATTTTTCAAGAAAGACCTGACAGGGAATGTTTGAACAATGTCTAAGAAAGAATTGATCTTCACTAAAGCCCTCCTCCAATTAGCGATTGTCCAATTATAGCTTTGCAACCATAAGTACTAGTTTAACAACGGCAGCAGAAAGCAGAGGGACGGTGGCTGCCGCTCTTCAGAAGTTGCCCAGCTCTTTGCATTCATCCAGTTTATGATAGTTCAGCAATTTCAACTTGCCACTGCAGCTTTCTGTGTGACCATGGCAACCACAGAAAGCGCAGCTTTCAGGATTCAGGAGCTGATTTTACTTGTATTTGAGTTCCCTGACTAATAGACCTCTTCACCAGCAGAGAGCAGACAGCTCAATCAAGAGAAAGGGTATTGGAGCAACATCAGCTTCAGTGTGTAATTATCCAGTCTGGGACAATAAAATTTTTTTAATATTAGTTAGCAAACCTTCCTATAATATATTTGTCATGTTGCAAACCATTTTAAGCTACAAGCTGTTGTATTAAGCTGCAAGATGAAGTTATACATGGCAGATAATGGATTGTAGCAGCATATATTGTACAGTCTGGTAGGGTCGGAGGTATCCAGGAGCCACGGTGGCGGCGGCATTGCACTCTGCTGCTGCCGATTCAAAATACAGAACATTGATATGTAGATAATTTATGTTGATAATGTCATGATGACATTGTATATGTGTTTACTAACATATTTTAAAAATAAATTTGCTTGGTTTGAATTCAATAAAAGTGGGTGAGTAAGCTTTAGATACGCAGACATGACTTTCAAAGTGACCAGGATCTCTGTACCGTGTACAACTTTCAGCCTTTTAAATGGGAGTCTTGTTGTTGTTGTTGTTTGGGTTTTCACACAAGCAACAGGGGGGTCACACACTACAAGATCTTTCAAAACCAGTCTGACTGGTCTCCAAACTATATTTTATCAGGAGTCATTAATAACACCATTAATAACATCATTAAACAAAATCTTGTTTAATTAGGAAAGTAGTTTAAAAACACGCACAAAGGGCTACCATTTACACATACTGGCATTAGAGTCCAATTAGCTGGTAATTAGCCTGATCAGCCAGCGTCTGTAATCAATACACACATTATTAAACCATTTATTATTTTATATTTATTACAGTTATTTAACAAATAACTAACAATAATCAACGTCACACAACATTATCATACTGTATGTTACCTAGTGTTTCTGTAGTGGTGACTTAAAACCTTAAAATATATATATATATTTTTTTTTATTGAAAAAACTTTATTAGTAGTAGTAGTAGTTTGAATGAAACTAAAAGCTCCCTTAAAGTCCCTTTAAGAAATATGACATATTAACAATTCCTACAGAGTGCATAAAAGCATGTAACTCTAGAAACACAAGGGAAAAGTTGTTATTTGTCAGCAGTATTTTTGTCAATTCGGCATCAATAATAATAATAATCAATAATGATAAACACTATTCTGTACAAACTTTACATTTTGTCTCCTCAACTTGTTCAGCCTCCGTTGTAAGTGCGCTCTTACAGTGGGAGAAGACAGTGGCAATGAGAGCTAACTAAAGTAAGTGCTAACTAAAGTAAGTGCTAGTTGGGTGATCAAATACATGCCCAACTGAAACACTGACTCACTATACATAGTTCACCGTCTATTATGTGTGTCGGTATCTGAGGCGTTTTTTTTCGAATGTTACCAAAGTAACTACCAGTTCAGTTCCTGACAGGTGCTGGAGAAAGATGCTCTCATTGGCTTTACCTTGTTGCATGACTTCCCGACACGACCAGATATTTAGCTTGCCAAATATTTTTCAGGCGTCTGCGAGGTATCTGCAAGCTCTCAGAGAGCACTCTGATAGCATCTGAACAATTTACACAGAGCGATTGTCCTCATGGGAGAGAGACCAATTTGCCTCTAAACTAGGGGGGTATTTGTCGACAATCTCCAAGTTGGCCAGTGGAATTTCAGAGCTTAAATCATGTAGTGTGAACTCGGCAATAATCATTAATGACCATTGAAAAATGTGGGTCCCAAGGTGAGCCCAGTTGAGAACTACTGGTGTAAAGGATACAGGGGCTACAGAGATATCATGTGGAGAACTTAAAAGCTCCAATCGGTCCCCCTGGCTGTTTGTGTTTTCCTATCTAAGTTCCTGATATTGTTATTGATTGCTGATACTGAAAATAACTTCAAGCAAGTTGAACAAGGGGGTTTAGTCATTTAATAATTTTCAGTAACACTAGATATATTTTGTGATCAAGCAAAGCCACCTCCTCTGCAAACTATTTAGCTCACTGCAATCATCACTCTTTTATTACTTTTTTTAACATCATGGCAGGAGTCTCATTTTCAGTATCTTGACAAGGCAACCACTGTTGTTTTAATCTATGTCAAAAAATTAATTCAAACATGTAAAAGCATCCTCTGGTGTTGCAGTGCTGATAGAAAGCGGATAAAACTTAAAGGCATACTATGCAGTTTTCAGGTTTTGTCAAACAGCTACCCCTAGAGTCGCTGCGGAGTACTTGTATTTAACATTAACTGTCGTAAATACCACTCACCAGAGCCGTCTCTATATACGGCTCTGCACTCACGGCCTGATCCCCTCCCCCCTGTATACCGGTACATGTTCAGTAGGATGGAAGCGTTGGACATTGAACAGGCAAAGATAGACTCTGAAGATGTCTACTGACCAGGTAACATCTGAGTGAATGCCTGCTAGTGTCTTCCATTGAGGCTGCTTCTTGTGTCGCTGATGTATGTGACGTTGCGCCGTAAAGCAATTTGTGATTCTCGCAAGATTTGGCGGGACTAGCATTGCTGGTTCTGCTAGCGGCGTCCCTCTCCTGCTTTGCTATTGGGATGATTCGCTATACTACGATTTCGTTTACAATCGAAATGACTTCGAAGCTGTTATATTAAGGTAAAAATCTTGCATAGTGTGCCTTTAAATAAGTTCCTGTGCCATAGATCCTGTGTGTGTGTGTGTGTATGTGTGTGTGTGTGTGTGTTACCTGCTGCTGCTCGGCCATGGAGTGGATGGAGCTGAAGGAGGGGTGTGTATGTGTGTGCTGGCTGGTCATGGCTGGCTCAGCGAGGGAGAAGCCCTGGGCAGTGGAGGAGGAGGAGGAGGAGGAGGAGGAGGAGGAGGAGGTGGGCGGACATCCTGAGCTGCTTACACCTGAGAGAGAGAGAGAGAGAGAGAGAGAGACACACACACGCTTACTATTTTATTTATTCATTTTATTTTAATATATTATTTTCATTTTTTAACACACACACACACACACACACACACACACACACACACACACACACACACACACACACGCTTACTATTTTATTTATTTATTTTAATTTTTGATATATTACATTTTCTAACTTTCTTTCTTCTTCTTTGTTTTTACTGTTATATTGACAACAGACTACTTGTTTTAACTGTAGCCTGTTACTTTACTACTGTTTTAATGACATTTTTAGTTGACAAACATCTTGCAGTTTCTGAGTTCACTATTTGGGTTCATTGTACAGTTTTGAATATAATACAAAATATCCATAAAATATGTCACTCAGTCAGTGGTCGTCAGTTTACTAAATGATACAAACGGGGTCCCTTCAAGAAAAAGGCTGCAAACGACTGCTATAACGTATTTGTTGAATACAAACATTTCACTTTGCCAATAACATTGAGATCCAAGCAGGGTGAGACTGTTCTATGTTGCGCCGGTTGCCAGCAGAATAAATAAAACAAGAGAAACATGATCATGTCCAAGTTTTTTTCTGTTACAAGTTGCACTTGAACACACCACTAACGCAACCAACATAAACCTCCAAACAGAATAAACGAGTCAACTATTTTCATACCACTATGACTATGATTAGTAGTCTTCTGGAAATGAAATTAAACTACAACTGGTACTGCAAAGGTTTTGCTTGGTTTGATGGTATTTTGATTAATCATGCAGCTCTACTATAGCGGTAAAATCACTGGTAATGCTCATGAAGTCCTCTCATCATTTGGAAGAGAGAGATAGTGAAGTTACAGTTTTGCTTTGATCGGGTTTCTGCAGGTTTTAACATGTTTAATTAAGACTTCTTTGGAATTTTTTAGACCATTTTGGGGATGGGAAAACATACAACTTAACTATCACATCGCGATAAAAACACTCAAGTTTAGGGGTTGTGAGGTGAACTTCCATTATCAGGATAATCGTGAATATCGTCACGTGCCTTGCTCATTAACGTACAGTTCTATAATGATTTCATGCATGCTTGTGTGGAAATACTATGGATTACAAATTTTGTGTTCTGTCTGTGATGCAATAAAAATATTTGTTTCTTAGCTAAATGTAAGGTAAAGCAATTCCAGTATATTTAAGTGCCATTTGTTTGGGCAAAGTTAAAAAAACACATTGGAATTATTACACTTTTTTTCTTAGAATCCTACTTAATATAGATTTATAAAAACTTGTAATCTAGATTTCCTTTTCTTCCTGTCCCTCTACTCCCAGTTTTCACTTTCACCTGTACTTTTATCTATACACATGTTCAAACTCACACCCCTACAGATAATGTACATCTTCATTTCTACCCTCATCCACCACCCTCACCCTTATCATCAATTCATCACTCCCATCAGTCCATCCAGAATCAGTGTTGTAATGCCATTTTTAAAGTTTTAGGCATATTTTGATGATTATCGCAATAATTTCGCAAATCAAAATTTAAATTTTTATATTGTCCCATGCATGAAACACTGTCAGGACAAAGTTGATTTTCTTTTTCAACTGTGATGAAGCAATTTCATGAAAGTGACTCAGCACACAACAAGAAGAGAGTGCTTACATTTATCAACACTATACAGCCTGTGTGTAGTTCAACAGCTTCATTGGGATTTGTGACTGCTGGATGTAATCATGGAGACAGGCGTACAGTAGGTGTAGTGGTGAGAGAAGTCAGTTACAGTATGGGCTAACTTTAAACTACTAAAGCTGGTGGGTGATGCCTTCCCCCTTACAACTGTGGTTGCACGTCTGGAACTATGCCGCGTCAGAGTTTTTAGAGAACGTAGATTCTACACCTGTACTGCAAAGAACATTGAAGAGAAACAAATTAGCCAACCAATTTTCATTTTAGTCATGATTCATGATTATGATTAAGTAGTCTTGTCATTTACCCTGAATTAAATTGAGACTATCATTTGATAATAAATTGCAACTTGTACTGCAAATGTATTTCCTTGCTTAGGCCTCGTCAACCTGTGGTATTTTACTAGTGGAGAAAAAAGGAAAACTGCAGATGTCAAAAATCTGCACTGAATGGGTGAATCACAAAAGCTAATCAAGAGAGCTCTCTACTGACTTCTTCTGATGACAGTTCAGCTTGCTCAGTCGGCTAGAATATGGGCCAAAATGTGGGCCAGACACACTTCATAAGCTACAACTGGTGGTCAGCACAACAATACGACGAGTGACTGTTGAGGTTAGGCATCTGTCAGTCTCACAGCATTTCTGAAAGAATCCACTCACTTGCCAAACTGATATTTCTGTTTATGACAATCAATCAGTGTGCAGCATCAGTTGCTCTTTGACCTTTCAATGTAAACAAATGCTGGTATAAAATCATGGCTCAAGGGCAAGTGAGTAATGCTAAGCTGTTGGATTGATTTGTTGTGATATTATTCTGGTTAAATTATCTTTCAGCTGTCTTAAGCACCTACTGCAACCTCACATAGCAAGTGAGCCAGGTACCAAAACAAGGACATGTGTGGGTCAGAATACAGCTAGGCTTACTGCATTATTATTGAGGGTCGGGTTTTCAATGGACAGAGGGTGGCTCAGCTGCTGACCATGTCTCTTCCTCCAGTTCAGCCGCGGGAATGATTAAGTTTGCAGTTCTTCTTATTTGACAGGCTCTTTCAGAATGACCAACCAGTGGAATACTGTGAAAGTGTTTTGCCAGGTGGGTAATGTCAACAGAAAAATGGAATACCAGTATTTATCAATGTGATTAAAAAGAAGACATTATTATGTCAAAGATGTTTTGAATACCAACAGGTGTACTAACTCAGTTTCAAATAGTTTCTGTCTGTTCAACGATTGATTGCTGTATTACAGCAGCCTTGTAATACAGACTATACTATATATTGTGTAAATGGCACTACAAGTCCCATCATTTGTATCTAATGTAGCTAACCTACCAACACATTCAAACAACCTCACCTTCTCAGCTTAAACCCATCATTTGTCATGCACAGGTGTTTTAGGTTTTAGGTACTTTCACATAGAGAAGGTTAAGGGGTTGCATGCCTGTCCCTCACATGTTCTACCCCAAACACCTGTGGATCTGGATCACTGACATATATAAAGATGGATGACATGACAGCTTTCCAAGCCAAAACATCTCAATCACCCTCTGGTGGCTGACTGCAGTAGGTCATAAAGCCTGCTGCCTCCATGTTAGCACTACTAAAAAATCAAAGTACACGTTAAATAAACTTTTCACAAAGATGATAGGTTTGGTTTTAATTAGTTATTTGAAGCTATAAAAGGAGGGTTTTACACCATGATTGACAGCTGAGTCCTGCTCGTGATTAGGTCAGCCGTGTATATGGGCAGGACTTTTATACCACAGCATCAACCCTGATCACTACTGCGCAGACTCACTCTGTCTCTAAATGATGTCACCAGCGCAAGATGGCAACGGCTGTATCTGGGGTATTTTGGCTTAATTTTTGTACAGTGGGAGGAAGTGAAGAAATTACATATTTTATATGTCGATATTCTGGACCTTTTGGATTTTGTGTCACCAGCAAACAGCCTTCATCTGTGGACTAGAATAAAATAGCATAGAAAAGAATAGAATAGCCAGACTTTCCTGATCAGTCCAGTCAACAGACAAAATCAAAAGACCAAACTAATGATTCACTGTTGATTATATCCATAATAAGTTTTCCATAACAGAAGAAGGGAATTAAATAAGGCTATAGCATAATGTGAAAAATGAGGAATACTGTTTGGTTGTATAAAGCAATGCATGTGATAAAACATACATGTTTTCTTACTCAACAAGAATGATTGGGTTTGTGTCAATGCAATATCAGCAACAAGAATATATGTTGTGAAGAACAGTTGGATCTATTTATAAGTAGTAAATGTCACCAGTTAAAGGGTTCCTATCACTATTATTATTATTCTCCCTCTTAAAAGGAAGTTTTTTCTTGCCGCCGTTGCCAAGTGCTTGCTCATGGTGGTACTGTTGCGTCTCTGTAAATAATGTTATAAGGAGTTCGGTCTAGACCTGCTCTATTTGAAAAGTGTCCTGAGATAACTTCTGTTGTGAATTGGCGCCATATAAATAAAATTGAATTGAATTGAATTATTATTATTATTTATTATTCTCCTGCCTATCGCCCTATTTTTCATTGAACCAATTGTAGGAGCTTAACTATGATTGTACCTGTATGATCATCAGACTGCAGAAATGCCATTACAGTATTAAATCTATATCTGTACGTCTAAAACTTTTATTGTGAAGAAGCAGCAGGAAATACAGTTTGCATCAGCAATAGTAATGGGAGTAGGAGAGCACATCAGAAAACAGTGAAGCTCCTCAATTCAATTAGATGAAAGTCAGAACTAAAAGCATGAAGTTAATTCAGAGATTCAGTTACAAGCTACTAAAATACTGAGAGCTATGCAGTGCTACTACTCTATACCTACCATTGTAAAAGAGTTTTCAGGGGTGAAAAATTAGGTTTATTTTTATATCACTATAACATAATTCAGGGCAGACATTCTCAGTGAACATGTAAGAATAACCCTAACCTTTGTAATTATAGGTTCCTCACCACTATTATCTATGATATACGATACACAACTATTCAGTACATCTTTTGCCAAATGGCTCCCTCATTTTTTTAAACAAAGCTCTGTGGCTAAATAAGGCTTTATCTGTGAACTTAAAAAAACATTCACAGCAGCTTTGAACCTCTGTGTTGAACCTATGCGCTTGTGTTCTGTTGTGTGATAAGGAAGAGAAAGTAATCCAATCATTGTCTGGGACTGTCGTGGCGCTCTGGGTCCTGGCCTGTTAGATATGACAGTGCTAGAGAGAGAGAGAGAGAGAGAGAGAGAGAGAGAGAGAGAGAGAGAGAGAGAGAGAGAGAGAGAGAGAGAGAGA